TCTCACCCCGAGAGGTGGAGGGCTAGCGGATTGGAGTTGGGGCGGTTGGATCTCTATTGCCACGTCAGAGCCTCTCCTGACTTTAAGAGTTATCATCTTAAAGCCAAGGACGACTCTGCCGAAGGGTCGTCCAGAGAAAATGTAACTATGAACCCATTGTCCTCATCCCTACGGTGGAGGATTCTCCAGAGCTCAGTATGGAGCCTTTCTTTTTGTGCCCTCAACAGCACAGCCGTCTCCTCTGGAGAGTCGGCTTCGCTGCGGGGCAAGTAGGTAATGCCTAGCTGAGGCTTAGGCAGTTCGCCCTCGAGTATTACCGAGAGCTCTGCCTCCATCCAGGGCTTCAGTTTTCCGATTTCACCCACAATCCAGTCCTGACTTGCCTTATTCAGGCACGTTACCAGAATCTTGAACAATTTGAACGAAAATTTTGAACTTATTCCCGGTTGCGCCCCACAGTCCGTCTTAGCGATGGCCTGTGTTAGTGCCCGGTGGACCAGCCGCATCTGCTTACTCATAGGATTCTTATTGCGAGTTCCTATACGTGCGAAGCAGGCAGAGGAATTTCGTCCTAGGGCTTGTCGTGTGAGTGAGAGAGGGCCTCTTCGGCTCCTATCTCAGGTGCTATCAGCCTTCGGTACCTTTTCTTTTTTGCCCCACTAAGCTTATAAAGCCTAGCGAACTTTTTCTTTTCCCCTCCTTGGTTCGTTTCCGATTGTGGTTCGGCTGCTGACGTGCCCTCAAACTACACGGATCATCCCAGGTTGGGGCACAATGTTGCAGGGTGTTGGTGTGGCTATAAGAGCCTCTTCCAAACCTACAGCTAATTCCATTAGAGGAGATTTTTCGTTTATCTTTTCAAAATGTCGATTTTCATCAATTTTGGTCCCACGATTAGCTAGGGAAATATTCGGTCACCTCCGGCAGAGCCCCGCATGCCGAGGGAAGGGCTAAAATACTACCCGAATCGAATAGAAACTCTCCACAACAGCGCTGGAGTAGCTACTGGGATGAAATGAACTTAGCAGTTGTCGACGGTTTGAAGTGTGCTACTAAACTGTTCAGTAGCTCTAAAATCTAAAATAATTTTATTTAGCAAATATAACCTCGAAAAAGTCGTCTATCTCCCTAATATTTTTCGGCACGTTCTTTAAAATTTAGCCCGTAGCTATGGTGGCGCCACTCTTATTTAACGGTTTTCTATGGACACTTTTTAATACACAGTCTGTACTCCCTACTTCTACACCCCATAATTTAAGCGCTAAAAATATTCTAGTGGAATCTGGCGGAAAATTTTATATTATGTAGTTGGCTGCACAGTGTGATAAAAGTCGCTAACGAGTCAATCGTTCGGGTATTCTCCCACCATATTGCTGATGCGTTAATTGTTTTATCTCCCTTTTGCATTATAGTATTATCTAGCTGTTTTGCTGTTCATTATATTAATTCTCTAAGCTTTAATACCTGAGAAGAACTCATTTTTCTCACTAACGAGTTTCGTGTTAGGTTTTTAGCTGAGTTTTGTTTATTTCGAGGAAATTTGAAATGTAGGTGCCACTGAGGAAGAAGGCTTATAGACAGAAATATAAATCTGAGAGGGAGCAAGTAGCATGGAATTCAATTGGTCAAATAAGAAGGTGATGATGATGATATAGTGAAAGTTTGGGCTGAAGTCTCCAGACACAAAAATGTCGGGGTGTGTCGGGGACGAGAGCGAGGGGAGCTTTCCAGAAAATGACATCACTAATCTTTCAACCTACAGCGCCATCTGTTGTCGAAACGAAGAACTAAGCTTCTAGAAGCTGACACTCGAACTTTCGGCGCTTTGTCGATTGGTGCGCGTATTTACTTGAATGTTCTGGATGTTTCGGTACTAATGTGTATTTATAGGCGCTGCAAGGTGCGATCGGGGAATTATTGAATTTGGCGAGACAAGCGAAGCTTCGGAGCGGAATAAAGTGAATCAGTGTGGTTAATTAAGCGTCTCGTGGTGCCCGAGCCTCACAGCAGCTCTGACTTCAAGGTCGCGGATGCCATCGATGAATGTCTGCACCAGGTTCCCTTCAATGAGCGCAGGTACAGACCGGTATGCTTTTCGCACCAGCTTCTCCACCTCTAGAGCCCACTGCTGCAGGTTTTTGTTGATGCGTTGCGCGCAATCTTTAATCTGCGCGCGAAAGACGTGTTCCAGGTGAGCGTCGCCATATCTCGCCTCCAATGCCTCATGGAGCTGCTCGTAGGTCACTCTCTTACCGAGAGCTTCCAACACGGCGGACCTGGTCCTCCTGTCGGCGGGCCTATTCCTCCTGCTGCTCTTTCAACCAACGGGCCTGTTCCTCCTGTCCGTCCCGCAGCTGCTCTTCCAATCGGCATGCCTGTTCCGCTTGCTGGCGGGCCTGTTCCTGCAACATCATCATGAGAGCACCTAAGTCAGGAGCTGCAGGTGTAGGAGCTGCTGACGGGCCAGCCTCCATGGTTGCCAGTTAGCCCTTTGACATCTGCGGCGTTGCACCACCAAATCTTCTCTTGACACCCTCCGTTTCCTCCTTAGGTAAAATCGGCATTATTTGATCCCACTTCTGACACCAATTGTTACGAGCTTAGGGTTCGTGACAATAAAAACTGCCGATTGAATTACCAAAATTAACACTTTAATTCACTTTACTTAAAAGACACTAATAATTAATCACACTGATTCACTTTATTTCGCTCCGAAGCTTCGCTTGTCTCGCCAAATTCAATACTGCCCCGATCGCGTATTGCAGAACCTTTAAATACACTTTTACACCGAAACATCCAGAATATTCCCGTAGATACGGGCGCCGACCGACCAGAGGCAGAAAGTTCGAGTGTGAGGCTTCTAGAAAGCTTAGTTCTTCAATTCGATACTAGATGACGCTGTTGATTAAAAGATTAGTCATGTCATTTTCTGGAAAGCTCTCCTCACTCTGTTACCCGACACTAAATGGTGCTAGTGCCAGATGTCAACTTAAAGTTCATAAAAGATAGCTTGATCTCTGCGACAGCTGTCAGTAAAATCACGCCTATGAAGTCCTGAATTTCTTAGTAGTACAGACAGTACCTGTCAATGTCATACTTTATGGGCATGCCGACCTAATTAGTGCATGCCCATAAAGTATGACATTGACAGGTACTGTCTGTACTACTAAGAAATTTAGGACTTCATAGGCGTGATTTTTACTGACAGCTGTCGCAGAGATCACGCTATCTTTTATGATCAATAGGCAAGCAACAATAACTTTCAGAAATTAGTGAACTTAGTTAATAGCGTGCTATTGCTTCAACATTCAAACGCTAAAGTATAGCAGATTTTCATAATACATACATAAACACTCACGCCTGTCACCCGGAGAGGTAGGCAGAGACTACAGACTTCCATTTGGCACGATCCTGACACACCTCTCTCGCCTCCTTCACATCCATATACCTACGCATGCATGCTCGACGGTTAAGGGTACTCCTAATTTGGCCCGTTTTCAATAAATCGCCAATTTGGTCGATAAATTTTCGCCTAGGACGTCCCTTTCCGACTCTGCCATTCACCTTCTGCAACATAAATTTTCTTTGTCCCTCTTTCTACCAAACCACCGAAGCATTCCTTTCTTAATCCTTGCCACAACATCATCTTGCAAACCATACTCTTCTCTTATCACACAATTTCTCACCCTGTCATTCAGATTCAGCCTTCATTCTACTCTCATGCTTCTTTTGCCACACCCAACTTTCACTACCATACGTTAAAGTAGGGATCAACACAGCATTGTGAATTGCCATACGTGCCATTTCCGACACATTTTGACTCTTCACAATAGAGTGCAGGGCCCCATTTACTCTATTTCCCGCATTCACTCGTCATTCTATACCCTTATCATATCTCCCATCCCTGCTAAATACGCAACCCAAATATACAAACTCATCTACTTGCTCGATCAACTCCCTTATTTTTTACTTTCTTCTCTTTCAAAAACTATAACCTGCGTCTTACTTGCGTTCACTTTCATACGCCTTTCTTTTAATGATCTGTTCATTAATGTAACCATCATTTGCAATTCGGCCGCCGACGACGCAAGAATAACTTGATCATCGGCGTACAAAAGGCATTTGACGGTTAGCTCACCCATTCTTAATCCGCATTCTTCAAATTTCAAATTTTGCAAACAACTGTCCATAAATAGGTTGAACAGCCACGGGGAAACCACACAGCCCTGTCTGAGACCTTTATGGATATCAAATCAGTTCGAGTAGACCAAATTGACCCTAACACATGCACTAGAGTCCCTATAAAGAGACTCCAATGCTTGTATGAAGCCAGCGCTCAACCCAAATGAGTTCATTGTTCGCCATAGCACATTCCTATCCACTCTGTCATAGGGGGAATAAGTCGCTCACGCCCGTAGGCTTTGACCACCTATTCCTAGGCCCACCCTACACGTGTCCCCCGGGTGGTGCTAAATGAGCGACAAGCCGATAGCACAGACTCGGCTCCTCGCCGTGTTAGCGGCGTAAAATATACTACCCTATATTTCGCACCATGAGGAACCAAATAAAAGAAATGGCCCCGAGTTCCCGGCGCCCTTTTAATGGGGCAGGGGCATAATGACCTACCTGAAAATGTCGTCAACAAATTACTAAAACTGTGAAAAAAAGAATAGTTGCAGGTGTATAGGCTTATCATCGGCATCTGGAGGTGATGATGACCATAAAGACGTAGTGCAATTGTCTAATTTAGTCTATTTTAGTGCCTAATTTTAGTTAAATAGATGAAGATGTCTTTAAATAATCGTAAAACAGGGTACAACTTAGCGGAGTTTGGTGGATTTTGGAAAGCAAATGTTTGATATATATAGCGCATTTTTGATAAGGGTTTAGTGCATCTTTTTTTCTTCATACGGCAGCTCAGGTTTGGCGTAGCTTGCTACACACGGATATTTGCTCCATGTTGCTACATACCTAATCTATTTATCTATGGCTTGGCGTCGATGACTTATACAAGGTACCCAAACCCAAAGGTACCTAAACAAGTTTCGCAGACAAGGTTAATATTCAATAATTTTTTAAATTGTATTGTAACATAAAGATTTGTGTGGTTTAGTGTTTTTTCATAATAGAGCTAACTTGTATTCGCATCAGAAAATAACTATCTAATAAAGTTCATATCTCTTAAACGGTTATAAGAGAGGTTTATACTCTACATTAAAGGTATGTACATGTGTTTTTACCTATTTATTTATTTGTTATTTGTATAGTAAAACATGAAGTATGTACTTACTTCAATTGAATAAATAATATATTACAAGTATTTAATAGTTTCTTATATCTAATTGAATGCTCTGAGCAATAGGTATTATTGCTATAATATTACAATGTTAAAATTTCATTATCTGTGTTAGAAAACTATATATAATGTAAGAGAAACTTCTAAAATTGCTTTAGTTTTTTATTTCCTTTTTACGAGAAATGTGTTAATGGGAGACTTCAACGCAAAGCTAGGCACAAGAAAGAACGGTGAGCTGAAGGTAGGGAAATTTGGGATAGGGCATCGGAACCCAAGGGGCCAGCAGCTGGCCGACTTCATGGTCAAAGAGGGACTTTTTAGATGAACTCTTTCTTCTAAAAGCAGCCCCACAGAATGTTGACCTGGTTGAGTCCTGACGGCTCGACAGAAATGAGATTGATTTCACTATGATGACTAGACGGCAACTGTTCAGTGATCGCAAGGGTGAAAACTGGCAGCAGGAATGGTAAGAGGCACAGTGAACCTAAACATTGAGTTGGAAAGGTCTCGTCTAATGAAGTTAACACTCTGTCCCCCTTGTGCTCTAATCCAGAGTCCCAAAACCTTTCAGCTCGAGTTACAAAACCGTTTTCAGTGCCTAGAAGATTGCAATACAGTGGACGATATTAATGACAAGCTCCTTAAAACTGTCCATGTGGTCGGAGCTAAGTTCTGCAAGACCTGCCGCAGAAGAACACAAAAACTCTCCGATCACACTCTTAATCTCATGTCTGTTACAGTAGAGCTTTTGACAGCGGGTGGAACACCGGTACTTAAAGTCCTTCTGAAGCTCTTCAATTCCGTCCTCCGTGGTGGCAGTACTCCGGAGGCGCAGAGCAAAAGTGCGGTGGTCGTGTTCTTCAAGAAAGACAACAACCCTCTCTTGAAGAACTACAGACTGATTTTCCTTTTGAGCCACGTCAACGTGCTGTTTTCGAAAGTCATTATGAATCTTCTCTCACGCAGACTCAATGACTTCCAGCCTCCCCAACAAGCCAGTTTCCAAAAAGGCTTCAGTACAGAAATTTGGGTGGTGCTACAGTCCCTTCAGTGGTGCCTATTTGACTGTAGCTATATTGAAATACTGAAGTGCTTGTAAAGTAGGGCTACAATGGCTATCAGAGTACAGAACCAGAGTACAAAACCTATCCAACTGCAGACAGGTGGTGTAAGACAGGGTGATGTTATATCCCCGAAACTTTTCACGGCTGCATTGGTTTCTTACTTTCTTACTTTTGAAGTTGATTTTTATCTTAATATATATAAATTAAGTGTCACTTTGTTTGTCCACAATGGAATCCTAAACTACTTAACTGGTTTTAATCAAATTTGCACACCGTGTGCAGTTTGGTCCAACTTGAGAGATAGGATAGTTTTTTGCCCATGAGTGTCCCACAATTTTTTTATGCAAAAACAAGGATTTTTAATAGGACATGACAAAGGGCAGAATAACGTCTGCCTGGCAAGCTGGTAAATATAATATTTTTGATATAAAAGCTAACCTAAATAAACTTATCAGTGCAAGCAATAGAAGTTCAATCCCCACCAGCACCAGTGGAATTGTTAATTAAAATTTTTAGTGCTGATTTACCATGTGCATGTTACCTCTTCAATCTTATTCTTAAACTCGATCATTTAAATTTTGTGAAATGGCCTTTTAACCCATTATTTCGTATTATAGATGGCAGAAAATAAGCCGGGTGAGCCAGAGGTGGAAGATGAATTCTCAGTAGAGAAAGTCTTAGACCGAAGAGTAAGGAATGGAAAGGTATACATTATAGAAAAAAGTATTTGATTTGCATTTTTAAAATTAAGGGGAATTGTTAGTGCCATTTTTTACTGTATAGTGGAGGTGTAAGAATATCCACTATCCTGTGGACACAGCCTAAGAAGGTGTTGTCAGAAAAACCGACATAAACTATTAAATTGCTAGGGTTGTCACAATGGTGAAGTAATAAAAAAAAACTGAATTCTTTTTTATTCCATGTTTAAACAAATGAAACAACTTAATCAGAATGTCAATCAATCAAATCAAGTTGACTAACAAAAAAAATAATTATAAAAAATAGTCAATATAAGCAGCTTATAACATAATATCTATAGTAACAATAACCTATTTAACACTATATATTTTTATTTGAATACAAATAAGTTGAATTTACAAACATGACGTACACACAAAATTACGTCATTAATAATAGGTCCTTACATATGAAATTGGCATTTTGTACGGGAGGAATATAAAGTAAATTTTTTTTTTGTAAAATTATATTTAATTAATCAAAGTATGCACCGTTGGTATCTATGGACTTTTGCCATCTCATAGGTAGTTCATCGATCCCTTTACTAAAAAACCATCAATAAACTCTGAAGGCTGGTTGGAATGTCACATCGGAGTTGAACTTTTTTCCTTGTAAGTAGTTGTCCAAATTCTGGAAAAAATGGTAATCTGTTGGAGCAAGGTCCTTGGAGTACGGTGGATGTCGCAAACATTCCAATTGTAGCTCATCTAACTTAGTGGTTGTTTGTTGGTACAGTGAGTGGTTTTGCGTTGTCTTGAAGCAGCAGTGGCCTAGAGCGATTGAACAATCTCGGTTGTTTAACAGCTAGTTCTTCCTTCATGGTTTGCAGTTGCTGACAATAGATATCTGCCATAATCGTTTGGCCAGATTTTAGAAAGCTGTAGTGAATGACACTGGCGCTAGCCCACCAAACACTCACAAGTAACTTTTTCTGAGTTCAGTTTTCGTTTAGAGCAGGATTTCTCTGGGTCTCCAGGGTTCAGCCATTGCAACGAGCGCCTCCGATTACCGTACAGTATCCACTTTTCATCACAGGTAATGATTCGATTTAAAATCATTTATGTGTTGGTTGAGCAAAGTAACACAGCAGTCGACGTGTGTTTGCAAGTTCCATTCACTCAATCCATAAGGTACCCATCATTCAAGTTTTTTTACTTTCCCGATTTGCTACTAGTGGATTAATACAGTTTTATCATTTACCCCGAAGCCTGCAGCTATCTCTTAAGTGCTTTGTGATGGATCCGCCTCCACAGCTGTGAATGACACACTTTTGTTTTGGAGACGTTAAATCTCACAAGATTTGCATGGCCCCGTTGAGAAACTGCCTGCAGTTAGAGATTCGCATGCTCAACCATAGCTTCTCTTTCGGATTGGGTTTGATCTTGACTGGCCCGAGCATTTGGCTGGTACCTCTCCACAACTTTGCTGTTGGCTGCATACCCATGGATACTGGAAATAAGCAGATCATCAGCAAGAAGAGAGTTGCGGAGAGAACGAACCCCTAAGTAACTCCGGCGTTTGTCGCGATAGGACTAGACGAGCAGCCATCTATGATTTCTCCATTTTGCATGAAGGGCAGGCAAAATTTTTTTTAAAGTGTATAACTTTTATATCGGCCTTATTTTGACTGATGATTGAACCCATTTATTTGCAACAAGACAGCCCTGCAGGTCAGATTCTGAACAACTAGTAACCTTTTGGTAGCATACTTGCATTGCATTGCAAAATTGCCCTGTCTAGATAACTGACTGTTAATAGTAGTTATACATGGGTGCATGGGTGTAGTAAAAGGCAATAGAAGGAAATAAATCAGGAAATGAATAGCAGTATCTTTCATAATAACGTCTAAAAATAAAATACTGCAGTTACCAAACAAGCGTGGCAACCTTGAGTAATATCCTCCCTATGAGGCCATCTGTAGGGGAGTCCTATGTCCAGCTGTGGACTTTAATAGGTTGTAACAGTACCAGTTAGAGCAAAAACAAGAACATATTTATTTTATTCCAGGTGGAATATTTTTTGAAATGGAAGGGATACAGTGATGAAGACAACACATGGGAGCCAGAGGAAAACCTTGATTGTCCCGACCTTATACAAGCCTTTGAGGAAGCAAGGAAAAAAAGAGAAGCTGGTTGGTATTCTACTTCTACTTTTTATTTACGGCAATCTCATTGTAATGAATTCTGGCAATGTCAAGTCAGACATGGAAGTTACTCAATGGTGATATTCCTTGAGGGAGGCCTATGTACAGCAGAGGACTTGTGAAGGGCTGTAATGATGATGATGATGAGACGCTTTAGGTTGTCCTTTGATTAGTGCATTAAGGCAAAAGACGTGTATCTTTGTCTTGAGGTGACAAATATGGTTTTAGTTTCATTAGGTACTAATAGATTAGATTTCGGTATAGCATACTCGCTCCTTTGCTACAGCTGTAGATTCCCTCACCTGTCCGTAAAGTTGAATCCATTGGGGAACTGTTACTGCCTATTGTATATTGATGTTGATAATGATTTGTTGATGTTTGTTCATGGGTCAATAGTTTGTTTTTAAGGCTCTATTTGTTATATTTACAGAGGGTAAAATCAGTAAAACTGAAAAGGATCCAAAAAAGCGTAAGTCTTCTTCAGCAGCGACCCCTGATCTAAAGGGGGCCAAGAAGACTAAAACCGATGACAAAAGGGCGTCAGGCTTTGATCGCGGTCTCGAGCCTGAAAAAAATTATTGGTAAGTACTTTTCAATTGTAGAAACTACAAACAAACTTGTAGTTTTTGTAACAATAAAGTTACAGCCGCTACTAGCTATCCGATTAGTAAAAACTGCTTTCCATTGTTAACTGCAATCAAATATTAATAAAAGAGGTACAGGTGCATTGTCACCACTCACCACTGAGATCTCAAATGTAATGCATCGCAACTTGTATTGATATTTGGTCTCCATACCTGTTCAGAACACAGTATTGGTTAATGCACATTTCATTGGCAAAAACAAATGAAAGGGTTGCATAGGGTTAACATATGTATCACATATTACAGTACTTCTTTCTTTTACTTCCATATCTAAATAGAATATTGCTAAACTTATTCCGAACCTTATACTATAACATGAGCATGTTTCATAGGTGCGACGGACAGCAGCGGTGAGCTGATGTTCCTGATGAAGTGGCAAGGTACAGACGAAGCAGATCTTGTACCGGCCAAGCAGGCCAATGTGCGATGCCCACAGGTCGTCATTCAGTTCTATGAGGAGCGGCTAACCTGGCATACACCAGCGCCTGAAGAAGCAAACAATGACGACTAGCGGTTAAGTATAGGTGTGTTGATTTTTTAAAAACTGTATCTCCACCACATTTTCTCCTGTATGGTAAATGCCTCTTACATAGTAAATTTTATATGGAAAAACATCCAGACTGCAACCCAGTGTTGCCAGGATGAAAATATGATTGTAGGAGTGGATGGCGAAAATATGTGACGTTACGCAGTGTGCAGCAAAAAATGAGGTGGGCATGGTCCCGTGCTGGCAGATTTTTCATTTTAACATTTTATATGATTGCAATTAAAATCTAAAAAATACCTCTTACTTTTTTACTTGCGTACGTGAGGAGTAGTAATGGTAGCATTTTCGGTGTTTGCGGTTCCGGGAGACAATCTGAAACTCAAAAACGAAATATATACACAAAAAGGGGTTTTAGTTTCTAAAGTATTAGTAGTCACAATTCACAAATCATTTTTCTTTAAGAAGATTGTGAAGTGCCGATAGTAGGTATTTGAAAAAATGCTATCTGTTTTATACCGCTCTATCCGTATCGTCTGAAAGAGTTGCAAATCTTGGAAGCAATTGCCTATATTTCCTTTTTGAAATATTGCTTTAGGCGATAACGTTTTCACCTTTATGAATCGAGATAATTAAATTTAGATTCAGTCAAGGCCGTAGCCAGAAAGTATTTTCGGGGTGGTTTGATTTGGTGGAACAGTAGAAAAACATAAAACCGTTTTAATAAAAGAAATAAAATGGTGTTACTTATCATATATATTTATTAGAAAACCATTACAGAAATATTAAGATTAAATTTAGTCTTCTAGCTTTCTTTGCAGCGAACAAATCAATCACTTCCTCGGTGTCGATGTCAATTCTGCGGTGGATTGACATTAACGCCAAACCGTTTAGTCTTTCCTGGCCTGCGGAGTTTCTCAAATAAGTTTTGAGTCGTTTCAGAGAAGAGAAAGTCTTCCCAGGAGTACATGTAGAAACAGGCAATGTTGCCAAGATCTTTAAAAGTTTGTGAATGTTTGGAAATAAGGCCTGGTTGCATTCTCCGAGAGCTTCAATAGCACATGTTGGTCGATCTAGTTTCTAGTAGTATCAAATTCTTCCACCCATTTTATCCGCCACATGTCTAATTCGGCTTCTACAAAGTCTGCCAGCTTCTACAAAGTCAAATGCTGCCAAGTCGCATACGGGAGATTGAAGTATTTTGCATAGTGTCAGTGTGTACGGGAACAACATTCCTTAAGCAACATAAGCTTATAACAAAATCCCTTGAAATGGCTGATCTCAGAAAAGAATTAGATGTTTCAGAATCCATGTCAGTGGTTAAGTCGTCTAGTGTATCAACAATAGCTTTATAAATTTTTTTTAAATCTAAAATAACCCATCATCATCATCATGATTTTCTGCCCAGCGGGTCTCGCACATTGCCGTCTGTTTTCCATTCCATTGTGTTTCAGTGAAGTTTTTTTCGATATTATCTTTTAAACACTTAGTTTGTTTTTCCGAGGACTTGATAAAATTTCCTGCCGATTTTATAATTCCAATAGTATTTCGAATAGGCTGAACCTGGCAAGAATGACCCAGAGCTAAATTCAATGAATGTGAGCTGCAATGAATGTATAAGGCTTCTGGATGTGACTCACGAATTACTGCCTGCACACCTTTAAAACTTCCTTTCATCGAAGAAGCTCCATCATATCCTTGTTCGACTAAATATTCGCAATCTATTCCCAAAGATTTTAATTCAGATAAAATTGCATTAGCTAAATATCTTCCTTTTGCATTCTTAGCTGTTACAAAAGTTATAAAAAATCTTCACGCAAGATAAACCCATATCTTTTGGCTCGGCATATCTTAGACAAATAGACATCTGTTCTTGTCATGAAACATCAGTAGTTACGTCAACAAGGATTGGAAAAAATTTCGCAGAATTTAATTCTTGCACAATTTTTTCTGGATTATTTCACCACAAATTGCCATAAGTTCATTTTGTATGGTTCGGCTTAGGCAGGTAGCGTTCAAAGTCATATTATTTGTGTGCTTTATTAGATTTGAGTCTCTACATCTGCTTCTCATCCGTAAGAGAGCACGAAAGTTTCCATCATTTATGTCTGGCTCAGCATCATTAATTTTTATTGGACCTGAGTCGCAGAGTGACAATTCCTGACGTCCACATAATTTAATTGTTTCAATAATCGGAACGAGCCGTTTCCGATTTTCAGCTATTTGCGCTAGGTATCCGCTATCAATCTGACTTATTATATTTGGTTGAGATTTATTATAAACCTTCATAAAATTATCAGCCAATAATAAAGAAGATTTGTTGTATAGGCTTTCACTGTGACATTTGAAATCATGTACAGCATCTTTCCATTTAGTGAGCGGCTGAGTAACTAAGGATTTCAACTGCTGATGAGATCCTTTACCTGCGCAATCTCTGGCAAATAATACACAATATTTGCATAAAGCACTCTGTTGCCCTGTACTTGTGTAAACCAATCATGAGAACCGTTCGAACCATTGCATTTGAAATTTTAGCTTTCTTTTATCTTCACTTATTGGAAACTTGAATGTCTTTTCTGACATCCAAGGAGATGTCAACAATCTGTACTGTAAATCATCATCAATAAGGCAGCAGGACTTGACGGCTTATTTCCGGCACTTCTACAGTGGGGGGTGGGGGAGGGGGGTAAAGTCCTAATAGTCAGACTTGTTGCCATAATGAGAGCTTGTCTGGCTTTTAAATATGTGCCTAGGGGATGGAGGGAAGTGAAAGTCACGTTCATACCCAAACCAGGTAAGAACGACTGTACAGACCCTAAATCCTACAGACCCATTAGCCTCACATCCTTTCTCCTAAAGACGATGGAGAGGATGTGTGAACGAGAGTTGAGAGGGTCGGTGCTAATTACCTTACCGCTACACGAAAAATAACACGCCTATAGCTTAGGTAAATCAACACAATCGGTACTTCACCAGGTAATAACAAAGATTGAAGAGGCCATCCAAAACAAAGCAATATGTCTAGGCTCCTTCATAGACAGAAGGTGCTTTTGACAGAACAAATTTCTCCAGCATAAAAGGTGCCCTAAGTATACATAATGTTGAACTGGCACTGATTGACTGGATAGTAAACATGGTCAGTACACGAACAATAAAGATTGCTGGTGAATCTAAGACAATTCAGATCAAGAAAGGATGCCCGCATCATAATGAACTCATCAGCAAATTAAACGCTAACCATTTCTACACAGTCGGTTATACAGATGATCTGACAATACTGGTCTCTGGTAAGACAGCAAGCATCGTGTGCGACCTGACCCAAGCGGCTCTCCGTATTGTGGAGAGATGGTGCAGGAAATATGACCTAACCGTTAATCCAAATAAAACGGTTATAGTAATGTTCACACAAAAACGAATGCTGAATAACTATCATCTTCCAAGTCTTTTCAGCACAAAACTCCAGCTTTACCTAGGTAAAATACCTAGGTCTTACCTTGGACAGTAAACTTAACTGGAACAAACATAGAAAACAAAATCAGCAAAGCTAGTTTAACTTTCTGGCAATGCAGAAACATGACTGGCAAACAATGCGGTTTAACGCCAAAAATTATACTGTGGATGTACCAAACTGTAATTCAGCCCATGATCACATACGGCTCTCTGGTATGGTGGACCAAAACCAATGAAGCCACTAGCAAACCACTATACAAAAGCTTCAGCATTACCAGAGATTAGCTTGTATGGCTGCCACGGGCTGCATAAGGACTACACCAACAGCAGCTTTGGAGGCTATGCTGGAGCTAACACCGCTTCATCTACATATACAACAAGAAGCAACTTTAGCTGCCATTAGACTCAAGACCCAAATTTTTTTAAGTAAGAGTAGAGTCCCCCATACAGATATAATCGATAGAATTTACTCAAAAATTCCTATCTTACAAGCCAAGTATGATAGGATCCCAAAACAATTTGTATTCGATAAGAAGTACAGGATACAATTGAAGGAATGGGTCCAAGAGAGCGCAAAGTTTTCATGGATGGCTCTAAGACAAATGAAGGTGTAGGGTCTGGGGCTATCTCTGAAGACTTTAATATCCACATATGCACACCGCTGGGTACCCACAACACAGTCTTCCAGGCTGAATGCATGGGTATCATCCAAGCGGCCATAGCAATAGATGCTAGGAAGTTGAAAGACTTCTCCATCAGAATACTGACCGACAGTATGGCGGTACTACAAGCTCTGAGTTGCAATGTGACGAACTCGGGACTGATATATGAGTGCCATCAACGATTGAATGAGGTATGTAAGCACAACAATGTGACTCTGCAATGGATCAAGGGACACAGTGGATCTAGAGGCAACGATGCAGCAGATGAACTGGCCAGAATCGGGGGATCGGCCCTGGCAACTATAGGGCCGGAACCAATAATACCAATCCCCTTTGGCTACGTTCGTTCACTGGTACGTAGATATTTCAATAATTTACACGCTCAGCTTTGGAAAAATTTTGTAGACTGTAAACAAGCTAGGGAGGCCCTACCTGAAATAAACAGTCATCTAACCAAGGTTCTAATGAGACTGAACAAGCCACAGATCAGGATAGTAACAAGTGCTATCACAGGACATGGCTCTTTTAACAAACATTTGTTCACCATAGGTGTTACTGATAGCCCCCTGTGCAGGACATGCATGAGAGAGGAAGAAACGGCGGCTCACGTATTGCTGACGTGGAAGTTGCGGAAAACAGCCCGTCGTAAACTAAACTAACTAAACTAAACTAATCATCATCAATTTTGGTGTTTGATCCCGTATAATAGCCTACATCTAAAACATGCTGAGAAACATCACAGTCCTAGGAACGTCAGCAAAAGTACCAGAACTACTTGTAGCAGTATCACTGTCGAAAACACTTGCAACACTGATTTTCAGTAGAACCTTCACTACCAGTACCAGGTTTAGATTTTTTAAATAAATATTTGAATAATGTATTTTCTTGCGTCCTTTTTGCTATTTCAAATGTAGAACCTGTAACAATTTAAAAAAAACAGCCAAGTATTAATTCCCCTCGTACACAAATATTTAACCCGTCTCATTCTATGTTGATTGAATATTCCCGAAATGCAGTTCGAGCACGTCCCCGATGTTGCGTTGCTTGTGTAGTTGCCGTAGCACGTAGTTTCGCCGCTCCCTAATAGATGTCGCTGTGCCGCTATTTAAGTATCGCCGTGCGAATATCAAGCGAGCAATAGAGTGATATATAATAAAAATAACAGTAGGTAGAGAATATTGTTTGTAGTGATTAGCTATTATGTTGTGTAATATAAATTTTTTATTTCGGCGGGTGGGGGGGGGGGGATCAATAGGGATTGATTCCCGCTGGCTTACGGCCTTGGATTCAGTACACCTTAATCTATGTCTGTACGTTTTACTTTTTTTGGTAATTCAGTTTAGTTTAATTAAAAAAATAAAAACGCCCGAGGAAGTTTTTAAGTCAAAAATATAGATATTTAGATGCTAATAACTTATATCGTACCTAATATTTCTTTAAAACGTACGGATCTAGTTTTTCATTATATCTACAACATTTCTATAAATTATGAAAATAAGACCGGTTTTCGAGGGAGATAACGTTATCGTTTTTTGTATGAAAATTTACAGCTCCACAATCCTCTTAATCACTAACTGTCACAATTCCTTTACCTAAATTTTGGATTAGAAAATATCAGAATATTGTTGGAAAGAATTCTGGATTGAAGCATAGGGACAGGAAATGAGTCACATGACTAACAGAGATCTTATGTCATTTTTCAACACACTTAAAAAGGATGTTCTCAATTCGACTGTATTTTTTTTGTGTATTGTTTTTTTTAATGTTACCTCAGCACTTTTTACCAGATGAACCAATTTTGTTGATCGTTTTTTATTTGAAAGTCTCATGTGGTCCCATGTAAATTTGATCAAGATCTGACCAGTAGTTTTCGAGTTATCCTTAATAATACGTATTTAATTGTTTTCGACTACATTGATCAGTCAAAATTTTTAATTTTACCACTTTTGGTTTTCTATTAGTGTTATTGATTGTAAAATGTCAACTTTGCGAACCCCCTTGGTTAGATGTGCACCCGATGGATGCAGGTGTCTTTATCCATGCTTTGTGGGTTTCTTAGGAGAGGCCATGTTCAGTGGTGGACTTGTGAAAGGCTGTAATAATGATGATGATGATGAAATATTAAAAACAAAAGAATGTATTTCAGGCCAGCATATCAATTTATATCGGTGTATATTTATGCTTCGATTTAGTTATATATTAGAGTAATTTCAAGGAAATATTCGCTAATAATATCAACATATTTTTTCAGGTCTACCACAAATAACATCAATTTTCACCAAGATTGCTACAATTGTAGCAATGGGAAACATTTTTCTAGATACCAGTGATTAAAAATATTTTTTTAAAAATATTGATTTAAAAAAAAACTTGCCGACGGAAAATAATGATATGACAGAAATAATGACGAAAATGTGACTTTTATGTTAAAATCCTGTTACCAATAGTAACAAAACTAATAATTATTAGTTGTTTTCAATTATGTACCCGACTTTTCATTATTATACTGGATGACCTTTTTTACCATCTAGAAAAAAATAGGGTGTAACATGTGAACGGTGTAGAAAGAAATCTATGGCACTGATATTTTACAAAAAATAAATACAAACGTTTTGAAATAAATGAACAAATAAATAAAAATCTATCGAAATTAAAATTATATCCATCCTATTTAACGAATATATATAATATTTTATCAAACGTTTAATTCAAACTTCTACCATTTAATTCAACGTTTAATTCTACTCTGTTTACATGTTGAACCCTATTTTTTTTCCAGACGGTAAAAAAAGGTCACCAGTATATTCATTAGGATATGTACATTTTTAGTTATAAGGTTTTATTTAGTATCTAAAACATTGTTTAAGATAAAATTATAAAAAGACATCTCAGTTTTTTAATGATCACCACAAAAGGTCAATAGAATTAAAATACTAAATAATTTTTTATAAAACTTATCAGAATTTTTTATTTCTTGTCATCATTCTTCCGCGTCTGTCTGTCTTTTTCTTTGCGAAACAGTTAGAATCCTAGAAGATAACACAATTGTAAGCATAGTGTATGTAAGATTAAGTGCATAAATGACAACTAGTGAAAGTATTACACAACACTAAACTCTTATTCATGCTAGTTACATTTGCGGCAGCTTAGGAAGGGTCGAAGTGGAAGGAGACGAATATTTTTTGCTATATTACTTTATCTTCTAACTTACAAGTTAACATAACTACTGTGACAATGTGAGTACACAGAAATACTAGACTACATAACGTACAAACTAACTTAACTGCTGCTGGCTGTCTTAACAAATTATACCTTGGTTTTTATACTATTGATTATTCTTACCGTCACGTAAGTAAATTCAGTCACATCTTTAAGGACTTGCTGTTTTTTTGCTTAGCAGGCGGTAGGTGACTTCCTGATGGCACTGTGTTGTATATTCCTAAGTCACGTGCTGTTATTTGCTTAGCAGGCGGTGCTGTATAGCAGGTGACTTCCTGATTGCTTGCAAGGTCTCGGTAGGTATATGTAACTTACTTCTAACTTCTAAGTGGTGAACAACTAATGAGGGAGATGAACAATAATTTTACGCTCACCAGATGTCACTAGTAGGCAGTGAGGTGAAGCTATTTGTTACAAAAGGTCATTATAATTAAAATATTGCGTTTTAAATAAAAGTTTATCGGTTTCTAGTGTGTTAATACTAGACATGGGGCGAGTACTCGGTTTGGATTCGGTACTCGGCGGATTCGGCCTTTTTTAAGGGTTCGGCCGAACACCGAGTATTAACGGCCGAGTACCGAGTACTCGGCCTTAATTTTATTCCAGAAAAATATAAAGATAAGAAGCCAGTTTTTATCATTATTATTATTTTAGGCACATTAAAAACAACAGGAACATGAGAAACAGCACAAATATTGAGTACATATTGTACATAAGAATCTATAACAGAAATTATTATTATTAATATTTAAAATTTAAGACAGGAAGATTGTGATGCAATAACACTAGTTTTTCGGCCCTATTTTGGCCTAGTTTGCTCCTCTTTGCTGCATATACTAAGCCCGCATTTGAAAAAAGCCGTTCACTGTAAACTGAACTGGCGGGTGTTGATAAGTATTGAGCCGCAACTTTTCCCAAGATGGGGTGGTAATAATAGCCTTTATTAGAAACCCACCATTTATATGGATTTGCATCTCTTGCGTCCCTTGGTACGCTTAATTAATGATTTAACTCTGCTGCAGTGGAATTTCTTAGGATCATTAGGTTGGCACTGGTTGATGCATCACCAGCTTCTTTCTTTTTCAGAAGCATGTTTTGAATGATTTTTTTGTGTTTCCTAAGATCAATTATTTCTCTAGATGTTTTACGATAAAATGATTTTTATAAGAAGTCATTTTCGCGCCAGATAATAAAAATAATCTCTCGAACATGAGTCATTAGACAAGTAATCAGTAAACACATCAACAGTATCCGTGGGTGTGTGACTGATCGAGTACCGATACAAGTGCCTACCTTTATTACGATACTACTTTGTACTCAGTACCAAAGTACCAAACCAATCAGTACTTTGTACCAAGTACCAAAGTACTTGGTATCGAAAGAAAAGTATCAAGTAAGTACTTGTAGTTACTCGTATCGTTTCATCCCTAACTCTGTGTAAGGGAAATAACCGCGCGCCGCCCACTACCGCGATTTTTTAAAGCCGAATATTCGGCCGAGTACTCGGCCCAATCTAGGCCGAGTACTCGGCGAATCACTACTCGTTCCATGTCTTGTTAATATACAAAACAATGCCTCAGTGGTTTGCCCTTTATGTTTTTGAAACTTTTTTACTCTTTTTTAATTTTTTCTATTTTTAGGAATATCCGTAGTTTGGTTTATCCATTTCTAATCTAATTTATATAAACTATATCTAATATTTTAGAAAGAAACATTAACCCTTAAATTACAAGGAACAAATTAACTTATCCTGCCATGAAATCTGTCAAATATTTTACCTAATTTCTAAGTGCAGAATAAGTGGTGGATCATTCACATCAGATGTGGAAAGAATGAATGAGGAAAGAGTGACAAAGCAAATTTAAGTTGCAAAAGTAAACGGCAGAGTCAGAAAGGGACGTCCTAGGCGAAAGTTTATCAACCAAATTGGCGATATATTGAAAACAGGCCAAATTAGGAGTACACTTAACCGACGAGCATGTATGCGTAGGTATATAGATGTGGAGGAGGCGAGAGAGGTGTGTCAGGATCGTGCCAAATGGAAGTCTGTTGTTTCTGCCTACCCCTCTGGGTGATAGGCGTGAGTGTTTATGATATGACATTCACATTAGATTTGATAAGTCACAAATCCTCGCAAAAGAACACCGATTCTCACCAAGGATGATTGATGAGATTATGGAAATTAAGCCAAGCCCAAGCACAAAACTTCAAGATTTTGTGAGTTCGTCCTGTGTAATTAAGACCAAAGATTAACTTTTAAATAAAGTTAAAGGTAGCCTTCTTTAACTACAACATCAGAACACCTTCCTGTGACCAAGGGTGAAGCGAAACATTGGGAATCAAAAAAGTTATATTAAACGCGGTTAAATTTAGTAAACTTATTTTTATTTAACTAATTTGTTTTTAGTCTGTAGTAAAGGTTTTATTATAATGAAATGACTGCCTCGTTGGTCTAGTGGTTGTAGTAGTGTGACTGCTGATAATGAGGTCCTGGGTTCGAATCCCGGGTCGGGCCAAAAAAAACAATTATTGAGTCTTTCCGTCAAGAAATTCTCAGTAGCTGACCGGAGTCAGGAAGTTGGCGGTGTCTCATCCCCGTGCCTCGGAAAGCATGTAAAGCTGTTGTCCTGTTGCTGATCCTGCGTTTACGGTCCTATCGGATTATGAGAGTGAGGAAATCGAGTGTGCACCTGTGCTTGCGCATACACTTGGGCACTATAATCCTGTCTTGCGCCGATAGCTAGTTTAAGTTGAATCAGGCCGCCGAGACCGGAATTCGGTCTGGAGGACATTATTATAATAAAATATGTAGGTTATAACTTTGTATGGAGTATAATGATTTAGCTGCACTTTAGGAGATGATTTTGAATATTATCAATAATACATAAATATAAATTCATAAGGCTCAGTGTCTCGTATTGAACATAAATGCAACCACGGAGTCTGATTAAATACTCAATATATTTGCAGGTCCACAATTTAGAAATATATAATAGGTGAGCGCGATGTTTGTTAGGAGATAAAAGAATGATTTTGGGGAAAGGGGGGACGAACAAAAATGACACTTGACGTAATCTATATCTAGTACATCAAAATCAGCTGCTGTTCGTTAGTTAGTTTTTGTGTGAATTTGAGTGCTATCCCCTGGATAGCACTCAAATGGACCCGGTTGATGGGGGGGGGGGGGGTACTGTTGTCGAGATCTAGAAATCACCCGTGCGAAACCGGGGCAGATTGCTAGTAAACAATAAAACTATATGTAATAGCCGGCCTAACGCTTTCATTGGGCAATACATCGGTATTGCTCAACGAAAGCGTTAGGCGCAGACATTTTCCCCCGTTGAAAGGACACATTTTCCTAATACTTGAACTGCAAAAAAGTGAAGGCACAAATGAACGACGAGGCGACGAAAATATCCCTTGGTGGACTGGACATCGACTATTCGGGGCACGCCGTCTTGACCAGGAAACACTTTTTGAACGCGCCCGAAACGCCGGCAAAGTCGTCTCTCTCGATCTACCGATAGATCGTCGGGTGTGGATGCGTGAAGGACGAACGTTGTGCATCTCTAGACTATTATTGCTCGGATTTGGTGCATGCTTGTGACATAAATTACATGTACAGGCGAGTCAAGGTCACATTAGACGCCGCTTTTCGGTTTAGAAATCGCGCGTTTGACGAAAAAAATGCATGTGATAATCTTACTACACCCCTATCCCCCCTTGTAATATTTCGTGATTTTTGTCAAACCCCCTCCCCCCTTTCCAGCCTCACATCATTAATGACGGCCCCTTATGACATTGGGTGGAATAAATAGGTTGCTGGCGCGCACACGGAGGCTAGACCTAAAGGGGATTGCCCACTCTTCATAGACACTTTGGCCATGGGTGCCCACATATAAAAGCATATAGATATGATAATATGCAATTAAAACAATGAAATGGTTAAGGAATTGCTTTAAAAAAACGGGGTTTTGAAGATATATAAGATTTTATTTTCACAAATGCAGTTTTTTTAACAACTATTTTTATCGATTTTATCGCGTTTTATTTCTTTGATTTTTAATTCCAGACGTTTCGGGTGCTTTCCAACACCCATGGTTACGGCGGACTGA